TACCCAAGTTGTTTGTATTAATAGTTTGTTTCTTTTAATTGCTGAGTAGTACTCCATAGTATGGATGTACTAGCTTTCTTTCTTTTTTTTTTAAAACTTTTTCACCTATTGAAGAAAATCAGGCTAATTCCAGTTTTTGCCTATTACTAATAAAGTTGCTGTCAACATTAATGTATTTGTGTATAGGTTTTTACAAGAACATAAGTTCTCATTTTTCTGCAATAAATGACCAGGAGTGCAATTGCTGGGTCATGTGGTAATTGCATGTTTAGTTTTGTAAGAAGCTACCAAACTGTTTTTCAAAGTGGCCTTACCATTTTACATCCCACCAGCAATGTGTGAGTGATCCAGTTTCTCTGCGTCCCTGGCAGCATTTGGTGGTGTCACTTTTTTATTTTAACCATTTAAAAGTTAAATACTCGTAGCTTAGCATGTTTTTTAGAAAATCACAAGTAATAATATCTTGATCACTCTTGTAGGAACTCATTGTTTTAAAATTAATCTTGTATTTTTAACCCAGCATGAGTCTTTCTCTGCACTTCAGCAGGTTCCATTTGTCCTTCACTTGCAGAGGCAGGTTCAATGTAAATGTGCAAGTTTTGTTACCTAGAGCTTATGAATCTTTGCTGAAACAGTACTGAGGCATGATTTTTAGAAATTCCCTTAAATTACTTCTTTAGTTTTAATCTTTTAAAATTTTATTATTACAAATTTTTGGCATGAGATAAAGATGATAGTTACCATTTATCGTGCATTTGTTATGGGTCAGGTCTTCTTTGTAAGTGCCTCATGCATAATTTTTTTACCCTTAAAAATTCCACTTTTGTAGTTTATAGTGGTTGGAGTTATTTGGAATATAGTGTCTGTGTGGACCTGGGCTAACAACAGACACCTAGTACTTCACTGTGTGTGTTGCAAGTGGTGTCCCTCCTGCTTTATTTCACAGATGATTTATTTTCACTAACTTGGGAAAACTGTGGTAATGTCTTATGTTTACTTCATGTGAGTAAACCATAGTTTATGTGCAATTAAGAGTGGAATCTGTAAAGTGGAGGGTGTGGTCCCAATGACTAGGGTGTGATAAGCATGATTTTTCAGGTTCCCTTGTTTTACATTTTCTAGAAGAATATTTTTCTTATCAAATTAAAATACCTGTTTATAATTATTACAAATAAGTTATACGTCTCTCTATTCCCCTCTGTTTCCCTTGTTTTTATCTACTGGCCAGCTTTCAAGTGATGTGTTTGTTTTTATTTTGTATATTAACCGAGGATTGTAGGGCAGGCCAATGCAGAGCTTAATATTACTCTACCAGAAGAGGTGACAGTTAAAGGATTTGAACCTCTAATTCAGTTTGCCTACACTGCTAAACTGATTTTAAATAAAGACAATGTGGATGAAGTGTGCAAGTGTGTGGAATTTTTAAGTGTACATAATATTGAGGAATCTTGCTTTCAGTTTCTCAAATTTAAGTTTTTGGACTCCACTGCAGACCAGCAGGAATGCCCAAGAAAAAAATGCTTCTCCTCACACTGTCAGAAAACAGACCTTAAGTTTTCACTTTTGGACCAGAGGGATCTAGAAATTGATGAAGTGGAGGAGTTTCTGGAAAATAAAAATGTTCAGACTCCTCAATGTAAATGGTATTAACCATACCAAGCTTGGTCTGTGTACAAAAGTTTGTACTTGCTAACTGCTTTCTGTAAAATATTACTAAAATTTTAGTAATAGTAAGGGCCTGTTCTTTTTTCGAAAATTTTTATCTTTTTAATATGATTTTGTTTAGTTCTCAAATGTTGTTTTCTTTTTTTTAGTTGCAATTTGCACTTTTTTAAAATACAAATTATTTTTCTATTTTACCCATTGCATTTTACTCCTTTCTTATGTTTTATTTTATTTATTTTTATTGTAGTAAGAACACTAAACATGAGATCTACCCTTGTAACAAATTTCTAAGTGCACGATATGGTGGTGTTAACTACAGATACAGTCTTGTCCAGCAGATCTCTAGAACTTACTCATCTTGTGTAACTGAAACTTTACCCATTGAACAGCAATTCCCCCTTTTCCCCTGTCCCACTTCTCTGCCTCTGGCAGCCCCTATTCTAGTCTATGTTTCTGTGAATTTGACTATTTAAGATACCTTATATAAGTGGGATCTTGTAGGATTTGCTCTTCTGTCTGGCTTATTTTACTTAGCGTAAGGACCTCCAAATCTATCCATATTGTAGCAAATGACAGGATTTCCTTCATTTATGGTTGACTAGGATTTTATCATAACAGTGTTAGCAGAAAAGCCTTTGTCAGGTCCAGATGTTGCAGAAGAGAAAACGTTTGGTGAAAGTCAAGATTTACATTTGAAATCTGACTCGGGCCCCAGAGAAGATAGTAGCCTTGCATCTAGCGATCGGAGTAGTGTGGAACGAGAAGTGGCAGAACACCTAGCAAAAGGCTTCTGGAGTGACATTTGCAGCACAGACTCTCCTTGCCAAATGCAGCTGTCACCTGCTGTGGCCAAAGATGGCTCTGAACAGATCTACTCACAGAAGGGGTCTGAGTGTCCCTGGTTCGGTATCAGGATCAGCAGAGCCCAGAACCAGGTCAGAGGACTTTTACGACATTAAGTTCTGTCAACTGCCCTTTCATAAGTACTCTGAGTACTGAAGGCTGTTCAAGCAATTTGGAAATTGGAAACGATGATTATGTTTCAGAACCCCAGCAAGAACCTTGTCCATATGCTTGTGTGATTAGCTTGGGAGATGACTCTGAGACAGACACAGAAGGAGACAGTGAATCATGTTCAGCCAGAGAACAAGAATGTGAGGTGAGCAGGAGTATGTTCTTAATTCATTATTTTAACACCGATTAACTGCGATTTACTCTGGGTCAGCTCCTGTTGCACCAGTAGGGATATGAGCAGGCTCTGGGAGGGAGGAAGAAACTCATACACAGGTAATTGTAGGATCATGTGGTAAATACCAAAAGAATGAGATGAAGTTTGAAGGACTTCTGTGTTTGTGTGTTTCAAGTAGGTGTATTTGTATTAACCATGGAGTAGATTCACACATTGGCTGTTTAACTGTTATATCAAATGCCAGGTTCCAAGAGGAGAAAGAATGATGATTCTATGATCATTACATGATAGCTCCTAGAAAAATGCAGCATATACTCAGTCTTGTTCATTGTCACGTGGATCTCTAGACCTGGGACTAGTCACTGAGCATAGATTTGACAGTAACTAGTTGTAGTAATGTGGCTTCTACTTGTCTTGGACGTAGTTTTTCATGGCCATTGATTTTTGTTTTGTTTTCCCTTCGCCACTTTAGCTATTAGTTTAATGAATGCTTTAATAATTTAGCATGAATTATATGTAGCTGATGTGGCTTCTACTTGTCTTGGACGTAGTTTTTCATGGCCATTGATTTTTGTTTTGTTTTCCCTTAGCCACTTTAGCTATTAGTTTAATGAATGCTTTAATAATTTAGCATGAATTATATGTAGCTGATGTGGTATTAACCATACCAAGCTTGGTCTGTGTACAAAAGTTTGTACTTGCTAACTGCTTTCTGTAAAATATTACTAAAATTTTAGTAATAGTAAGGGCCTGTTCTTTTTTCGAAAATTTTTATCTTTTTAATATGATTTTGTTTAGTTCTCAAATGTTGTTTTCTTTTTTTTAGTTGCAATTTGCACTTTTTTAAAATACAAATTATTTTTCTATTTTACCCATTGCATTTTACTCCTTTCTTATGTTTTATTTTATTTATTTTTATTGTAGTAAGAACACTAAACATGAGATCTACCCTTGTAACAAATTTCTAAGTGCACGATATGGTGGTGTTAACTACAGATACAGTCTTGTCCAGCAGATCTCTAGAACTTACTCATCTTGTGTAACTGAAACTTTACCCATTGAACAGCAATTCCCCCTTTTCCCCTGTCCCACTTCTCTGCCTCTGGCAGCCCCTATTCTAGTCTATGTTTCTGTGAATTTGACTATTTAAGATACCTTATATAAGTGGGATCTTGTAGGATTTGCTCTTCTGTCTGGCTTATTTTACTTAGCGTAAGGACCTCCAAATCTATCCATATTGTAGCAAATGACAGGATTTCCTTCATTTATGGTTGACTAGGATTTTATCATATACACACACCACCTTTATCCACTCATTTGTCCATGGACATTTAGTTTGTTTCCATATCTTGGCTATTGTGAAAAATGCTGCAATGAACATAGGAGTTTAGATATCTCTTAAGATCCTGATTTCAGTTCTCTTAGATAAATGCCTAGGAGTGAGATTCCTGGATCCTATGTTAGTTACATTTTTAATTTTCTGAGGACTCTCTGTACTGTCTTCTATAGCACCTGCACCGTTTTCCCACCAACAGTGTACAAAGGTTCCAATTTTTCTACATTCCATTCTTTAGCATTTTCTTTGGTTTTGTAGCTGTTAGACAAAATGCTTGAAAGAAGCTTTTCTTCCCTCCCCTGGGGCTTTTGAAGGAGGTGGATTGATGATTTAATTTAACAATTAATATGTATGCATGGGTTATATCTATAGATTTTTGTTACATTTATAAACACAGAATTTAGAATTACTATGAAAAGAATGTTAAAAATAAAACATTTAAAAAAATTTAGAACATATTTTATAATTAATTTCTGTAAGCTTGAAAGGCAAGCTAAATAGGTTGCCGGACTGACCAGTGTTCCATTTGTGTTTTTAAAAAAATTTTGTCCTTTCTCTAAACTTAAGTATGTTGGAAATGACTTTAAAATATTCATAAGGTTTTTCTAACCTTTTCTATATCGGCAAGTGAAATGTGTAGCTTTTAAAATAAGTTATGTGAAGCTACCGTTTTCTTGACAGAAAAATAGGTTTTCTGAAATGCTTTATAAATTACTAGCATAATCATACCAATATTAAGTCAGTGCTACATAGACATTTTCAAAGAATAAAATTTTATTGTGGGGTTGAGCAAAAACATATTAAAAACACTTTAGAAAGAGGCTTACAGGTACTAGTGGAGTATTAACTTGCAATAGTAAAATAAATTTTATCTTTCCATTTTAAGTATGTTAGTATTTATGTTAATATTTTTGATTTGCTGAAAGTATCTGCTTCTTGATTTATTTGTCTTCTGCACTCCAGAATAGATTAGAAATATCAATTAAATGATCAGTTTTGGTTATAATAGATTATATAGAAGTTGTGAGTCAAGGCCTATTTTTTGAACATCTAAATGAAGTTCTTTGAAAGACCTAGATGTATATCTTTGTCCTCCTAGATTTAATTGTAACTATAAAATACAATAGAAGCTACTAATGTTTATTTCACATTCCAGGTAAAACTGCCATTTAATGCCCAACGAATAATTTCACTTTCTAGAAATGATTTTCAATCTTTGTTGAAAATGCATAAGCTGACTCCAGAACAACTGGATTGTATCCATGATATTCGAAGAAGAAGTAAAAACAGAATTGCTGCGCAGCGCTGTCGCAAGAGAAAACTTGATTGTATCCAGAATCTTGAATCAGAAATTGAGAAACTGGTAAGTGGACAAGCTGCTTCTTGTTACGATTTTAATTCCACCACTTTCTTCTTTGTAGAGGACATAGCTATTTGAATTCCTAGACCAGATATAATGCTCAATTATGTATTAATTTTTAAATACATCAATTATGAAAAATTATGTGGCATTTTCAGAAAGATAAGGAAATAAAAAATAGGGTTTTCATAGACTATTTTACTTATGTAAATATTCTATATTTTTAGCATGATATACTATGATATGTAACTTGAGAATTATTTCTGGGTGCTTTTTTAAAAAATAAATCATTTACAAATTAACGATGATTTTACTATCTAATTCTTCGTGGTTGAATAAAGATAAAAGAAATTATAAATCACTTAAATTTCTTCATGACATGTTTGGTGTCTGTAAAAGCTAATGTTCCAGTTGTTTAAATGAACTATAGACCTGAATAACTTGTTTTAGTTGATACCCAAAATGAACAGACTAACCAGGCTCTTTCATCTAAGGGAAGAAATTCTGATATGATATGGTGATGAGAATAGAAAATTTTAAGATCTGATGAGATCCTAAGTGAGAAGAGTGACTGCTTATTGAGTCTTATTTTCTATTCCAGCATCAAAATACAAATTAACCGAAAAATGGATTATTTTGCTCTGTTTCAAAAGGTCAACTATGATAGTACAGCCAGCTAAGGGGGAAAATATGGTTAAAGACAGTAGGCAAATAACCTAGAAGTAGTAAAAATATTCCTTAAATAAGCAGTTGGGTGTCCTTGTTAATTATTGGTGAAAGCATAAAGTTGTGATTGTAGCAAGTCTTCAAACGTGAACATTCTAGGTATGAATGGCAATTAAACAGCAACAATTTAGAAAAATAATCCAATCTTTATAAACCTTCAAGAAAAGTTGAAAATAAAAATTTATTGTTTATATGTTGTGCATATACTTTATTTATGTAAAAAGACCAAGTGTAAATATATAAAAGGATGAAGGAGATACCAGATGTTTTACTGATTGAGGCATGAGTGATATTAAAAAAGCCGATATGATATTGATGAGTAATTAAAAGTTGTTAGGACCAAAGAGGAAGAGTTACAAATTCAGTAATATAAGGGTACTTCAAAAAATTCATGGAAAAATAGAATTGAAAGATAATGTGAATCTTTCCATGAACTTTTTGAAGTTCCCTCATACTTACCCAGTTTTTTTGGAGCATGTATCAGTCATACCTTTAAGCACTAGTATTCTTTTTTATTATCCAACTTTGGATTAAACAATTACTTGTCTTCAGACAGACTATATAGCATTTTGAGCTTTAGCTATTGTTCTGTACTGTAATACAGAGATCTTTTTATATGGAAGTCTACAGAAAATTGTACTATTAGAATGCTTAGTTCTGCTTCTTATAGTGCTCTTTCCCCTCAACTAATTGTCATTTATAGCTACAAGTAGGAGTTATCCAGTCTTCTTACTCTCCTAAAAATAAAAATAAAAACAAAACAAAACAAGACTGATGAAGTTTGTTTCATCAGTAACTTTATTTTACAAGTGGATACTAAGCAAATATGTTTGAGAGTAGCTTTTACCCTTTAGTGCTTTATTTCCTGGCTCAAAGGTCTTATTTATGTTTTTTGATTGAAGTCAGACATTGGATTGCTGTATAATTGATATTTTTACTAAATTTCAGATAAATAGGATGAAGAGGGCTTGCTACTTTCTTTGGGCTTTCTGCTCCGTCTGCCTTTGCTTTAATAGAAAGAGGTGGGAGATACAATAGTTAAAAGTGTGGAATTCTGACTCAGACACTTAGTAACTTTTGGGAAGGCTATTTAATTTCTCTGTGCCTCAGGCTTCTCATCTCAACTAAAATGGGATAATATTATTTCCTACTTTATAGAGTAGGTACTCATTTTTGAGAATTAAATGAGTTAATGCATCTGAAAAACTTAGAACAGTGCCTGGAACATAATAAGCACTCAAGAAATATTATGCACTTATTGTTATTATTATTGCTATGTTATTATTGATCAGTTTTCAGTTTTCTCTTTCTTGACATCCTTCCTAATTTCTACCCCAAAATAGTAAACTCTGGGGTTGTACCTCACTCTTAACATTGCCTCTCTCGTCATAGTAAAGTTCCTTTCAGATAGTCAGTGGATTAACTACTGGTTAATTGCTAATACAAAGTAATATTTGGTTTCTCAGCAGTTTTTATGAAATCAAAAATCAGAGTGGTCAGTATCCTGTTTACCTTTTGTATCAATCTGGACTCTGGCTTTGTGAAACAGACTCTTGAATGAAGAATAGATGAATGAATTTTTTGTAAGGAGATAGATGTGTCTTACTTAGAAGATGGAGAATGGAGCCAGGCCTCGTAAATAGCACCGAACAAGGAAGCAGAAGAGTGCTAGGAACCTAGGGAAGACTCTTCTCTCTCAGTTCATCTCTGTACCTGCTTCACCCTTCATCCACAGAAGGGCTGTGTGTGCTGGTGAGTGCATATTGGGAGAGGGGCTGCTGCACAGTGCCTGAACACTTCCACTTGCCCATGGAGGCTAGATAGACTACAGTTTTAGTCAGTTCTGAATTCCCAAGCAGGAGAGCATCTAGTTGGCTAATTAATTAGGCTCAAGTGTCCTCTTCTGTGACTTGAGAGCAGGGACAAAATAGCAGAAGAGCCAATAGTCCTCCTTTCTGGGCAGGCAGAGCAGATAGCCTGACAGGGGTCTGTTGTATCCAGATAGGGGCAAGTCTGAGCTCAATTCAGTCTCTTCCAAAATCCCCTCAGAGAAGTTGTTATGTTGGAGTTTACACATCAGAGAGACTTGCTCTGTGTTGCCGGTTCCTGGAACTCTCAGTCCTTCACACTACTGTCGGTTCTTGTGATTTATACAAACTCCAGTTGCAGATGTAAGGGCCACATTACAAATTTCAGTCCTGCCACAGACATCTTGCTCAGACAAAAATAAGCAGAAAATGTGCTACTTATTAGCTAATAAGAAAGCTGGTCCTTCTCCCAGGAGTAAAATAATTTGATGTTTAATGTATTATGTTATGGAGTCTACTTGGATCCTGGTTATTGGGTGATGTTATGGGTGTTGTGTTTTGTAAAAGAGAGAAGAACCAAGAGGAGTTACAGCTACAGGTTTGTACCTAGTAGCATGGAAAGTTGAGAATACAGAAGGTTGTGAACAGATGTTCTTTTTCTTTTTTTTCTAAATTGAGATGTTACTTTTGGAAGCATAGCCAGTAGATGAGCAGTGTCTCTACTCTTTATAGTCTGGGTGGGATTTTAGTAAACCTATTTAAGGGAAATTACTTGTTTCATAGTTGAACAGCCATTTGCATATAGTTAATGCCTGATTGGATTAAACATATAAATAAGTTCACAGAATTTATTGCACTGCTGTGGGTAATATTCAGGCAGAGGGCCCCTTATTTTAGAAAACTTTGGTCTGTGGCTATTGGTTGTTTTCCTAGAGAGAAATCTTATAACTTTTCACAGTTGGTCTAAAGAGTAGTATAATAGCATAATAGACTGCAGATGAATCAGTGCATGAAAAAAGTGTTTTGATAACAATAGAATAATCATTCTAAAATATTTTCAGGTTGGTCAGTAGTATGTCATGTATAAGGGACACTTTTGTAGTCTGTGTGCTGGAAGAGTCAAGAGAGAGATGTTAGTTTGCATTCAATAAACTATATTTCTCAACAAGAAGTTCTGTCGAGTCTAATAGAAACTTTGAAGGAAGGAAAAGGTGTGTATTTAGTTGGTGGATAAATTGATGGTATTGATGATAACATTTATTTTGAAGTTTTTAGTATGTTAAGGGTTAGGCATTAATTAATTATTGCTTTTACTATCAGGATTGAATACGCATTATATACAAACCAAGAACGTGAGTTTTTAAACTAATAAATATAAGGTCTTTGAAACAAGTTGAAGAGTCATTCAATATTGATGATAACATTTATTTTGAAGTTTTTAGTATGTTAAGGGTTAGGCATTAATTAATTAATTATTGCTTTTACTGTCAGGATTGAATACGCATTATATACAAACCAAGAACGTGAGTTTTTAAACTAATAAATATAAGGTCTTTGAACCAAGTTGAAGAGTCATTCAGACAAACCAAGAACGTGAGTTTTTAAACTAATAAATATAAGGTCTTTGAAACAAGTTGAAGAGTCATTCAACTTCTGTTAATGTGTTGGTTTATGAGGCTCTTGTCTATATCTGATTGTTTACAAAGTCCAGTTTTATTCTTTTCTGGAAGATTAATTCAGAAGTTAGAAAATGCACACCTCTGATAACCATTTTGACCTTAAAAAAGGTAACACTGAAATGAAGGGAACTCTGCTTTTTAAAGAAAAAAAATTATATCACCAAAATGTATTTCTCTTAGAAACTATCAAATATTGTTGACTGATATCAACTTATAAGTGATCAGAAATCAGAATATTCCCAGAGCACTTGAGCTTAGGGTTGAGGTGTTCAGACACCATTCTGATGGGACAGGAGTGAAACAACCTCATCTGTTCTTAGTGTTCTGCATTTCGTGGTGAAGATTGTATTTTATTAAAAATGAACATGTTCTGTCCACAACCAGTCATATTTTACTGGCTGTTCCATCGAAACACACCCTAATGGCCCTTCTGGAATCTGTCCTCTGTCACTCCGTGATGCCTTTGAGCAGCACTTCTTGAAATGTGGTCTGTGTACCATTGGCAACAGAATTATCTGGGGGTGCCCCTTAAAGATGGACATTACTTAGTCCCATCACAGACCTGTGGGAGGGGCCCAGGAACATGCAATTTATGAAAGTTTCCAAGGTAGACATTGTGTACATTAAACTCACTGCACTAGAGCACAGAGGTCAGATGGAGGCTTTGGAGTCAAATGACCTGGCCACTGGGTAGCTTTTTGTGGCCTGGGGAAATTAACCTACAGTACCATCTCTCATCCATAATATGGGACGAGGAATATCTACCTCAGTGTTGATGCAAGGATCAAAT